GTGTGAACTTTTTAACTAGATTTACATTTGCCTAACATGGAGCAACAGCGTCTCCATGGCTTTAGGTTGTCAAAAAAGGAAATTGAAGAACGAAATAAGATGGAACGGAGACGCAAGTGGAATGAAAAGCTTGAGCGAGTGGATGTTGTGAAACTACGGACTGAACTGGAATCACTGAACAGGGCTTCTTTTCTGACTCCCCAACAAAATGAAAGAAAAAGGCTTGTTTCAAGAATGGTGAGTGATCTTGAACAGAGGGCTCGCGTAGCCTCTGATATGCAGAAAGAATCCCAATTAGACCCACGATGCCGAAAGTTAAGTATTTCTACCTCTTCTTCAGAGGATTATGACGATCTTTTTGGCCGTGCACGTGTGGATTCTACAGGTAGGGACAGCTTCCCAACGAAAGCCTTTGAATTGTTACCAAGGAGTTTGCGAAAACGAAATAACGAGGGTGCTCTAATTGCTGGAGGAGATAAGAAGCGCGCAAAGATGGCTGAAGATGCTTTGCTTTCTAGCAGTACTGTGGGTGATAATATAGAAGAGTTTTTCGATTCATTGTAATTGTTTTTGTTGTTATTTTCCCATGTAAAAGTGGCATATCTTGTATACAATATCCGAACGACAGTTTTCATTTAAATTGGGGTTGTAAGCCTTTTTGTTTTTTGCATATATTTTTTCTTTAGGGGTTATAGAGCATCTCTCGTGTAAAAAAAAATAAAAGAACATACGAAGAAAAAGAAACTTATTATTATTGTCATTACTATTATTATTATTATTATTATTATTATTATTTCTCTTTATAAAAGATGGCCTTGAGTTCCCGGCTTAGATCACTCTTATTGACGCGAATGGATCATACGCGGTTTATCGATAATGGGAAATGGTTGCAAGGTCTTTTGGAGGGATTCTCGGTTGAGAATGTCCTTGGTATTCCCTCTGTCGGCACGTCTCCTTGTGTTATGATATATGGTTCTTTTGTGGCCGGCACCGCATTTCAGGATGGGGACGCTGACTATACCATCGCGTTTATTTCAAAAAAATCACATGAGGAGCTTTCAAAGCTTGAAAAGCTTAAACTGTCGTCTTCGAATTTTCTTGAAGTATCACGCGAGCATCATCAATATGTTTTATCATCAATTCTCAGGCATATCAAAAATCAGGATCCTTATGCTGGCCTGGAACATGAGCGGATATTTATGGCACGAGTCCCCATCGTTCGATTAAAAAGAATGAAAAATACGGGGGATGATGGTATGAGGTTTGACCTTTCTCTTTCATTAGATGGTTTTCGAAATTCTTTATTGATTCGGTTATATATGGAGTCTGATCCACGTCTTAGGGCTGGGGCGCTCTGTTTAAAAAGATGGGGTCGTTCTCAGAGAATTCTGGATGCTCGACGAGGGTGGATTTCCCCTTATGCGCTGACTGTCATGTATATATTTTACATGCAAGCAACAGGACGAAGTCGTTTTGTGATCAATGAAAGTAAGGTCGATAAAATGCTGGAGGCTGTAGCGGCACGAATCTCTGAAGAATATGGTATAAATTGTTCACAGTTTTATGAGAATATTCCTTGTGTTGATGTAAATGCGTCTGACGTCTTGGCTGATTTAAAAGGTTTTTTTTGTTTCTTTAGTGATTCTAGACAATTTGACTTTGATGCGGATGTTGTTGATATTCGAACCAAAGGTAAATGCCTTTCTAAGGAGCGATGGCTTGAAAATATGAGGGGATTTAGCGAAAAGGAGCGATGGGAACTTTTAGGTTATGAGTTGATTATGGTGCGGGATCCTTATGAACCACACAACTTAGGCCGAAGTGTGGATTTTTTTCGTGCTGAAGTTATTCGTGAGGCATTTCGATTGGCTTCAGAAAAGTGTGCTGAGGATCTACTAGAACTGTAAAAATTATTATTATTATTATTATGCTTGTTTGTTTGTTCACGTTTTTTTTTTCTTTTTTTTTTTTTTTTTTTTTGTTTTTGTTTTTTTTTATTTACTCAAATGACCAAAACGAAACAGCCGACAGGAAAAATTAGAAAATTACCTACATTGCTTATTTGGTGAATTTCAAATCCAACGTTATTGGACTGAAGAAAAAATGACTGCTAAATTTTTTAATTAGATTTATTTACTATTAAATTTATTTTGCTACTCTTCATTTGTAAATATATATTTGCTTACTTGATTTATAATCAGTAAAACGGAAGGGGAAGCTTTTCACGAAGCCTATTTTTTCATGAGCAACAAGAAGATTGGTGAGATTCAGCGGAACGAGGACTTTCGAATTTCGCTGGAGGCTCAGGATTCCGAAAGCACTTTGCCCCCGGGACAGTGGCCTCTTTTGTTAAAAAATTATGACCAAATGAATGTGCGATCCTCAAATTTTACAATCCTCGAGTGCGGTTGGTCACCTCTACGGAGGCCTTTGAAGGAATACTTAAAGTATGGTATGATTAATCTGGATAAACCATCGAATCCTAGTTCACATGAGGTTGTGTCGTGGATCAAGCGCATTTTGAAATGCGACAAGACTGGACATGCAGGAACCTTGGATCCCAAGGTAACTGGAGCACTTATTATTTGTATTGATCGTGCGACGCGTTTGGTCAAGTCCCAACAAAATGCTGGAAAAACGTATATCGGCGTTTTACGTCTTCATGACACGGTAAGTGAAAAAAAGGTTCTTGCGGCCCTTCAACGTCTTACAGGACCCTGCTTTCAAAGGCCACCTTTAATTGCTGCGGTGAAGCGTCAGCTTCGTGTTCGTAATATATACTCTAATCAGCTAGTAGAGTATGATAAGCATCGTCATTTGGTCGTGTTTGAAACACATTGTGAAGCTGGCACCTACATTCGAACTCTTTGCGTTCATCTCGGACTAATTCTTGGGGTGGGTGGACATATGGAAGAACTTCGTCGTATTCGAACGGGGGTGATAAGTGAAGATGATCACGTCTCTACCATGCACGATGTTCTTGACGCGCAATGGCTTTATGAAAATGAAAAGGACGAGACATATCTGCGTCGTGTCATTCTCCCTTGCGAATATATTCTTACAAACTACAGACGTGTAGTGGTGAAGGATTCTGCTGTGAATGCAGTATGCTATGGCGCGAAGCTTATGATTCCTGGATTATCGCGTTTCGACAATGGAATTGAAAGAGACGATATTATTGTGTTGATAACAACCAAAGGTGAGGCCATTGCTCTTGCATACGCTGAGATGTCAACCTCGCAAATGGCATCAGTGGACCATGGTATTGTTGCCCGAAGCAAGCGTGTAATAATGGATCGCGACACATACCCACGACGATGGGGTCTGGGACCTGTTGCCGTTAAAAAACGTTTGATGATGAAAGATGGTCTTCTGGATAAGTACGGTCGTCCTCAAGGGAATACGCCTTCAGATTGGTACTACGTAGACTACGGTGGGGTGAAGACCAATGCAGAAGGTGTTCAGTACGGTGAGGCCCCAAGAAAATCCACAAAGCGCCCTCGAAAAGCCGAGGACGACTCTGAGTAAAATCGTAATTAAAATACCCAAGGAAATATTTTTTAAGTTCTTACGTGTTAAAACTTCGAGGAGGAATAGCAAAAAAATTTAGGAAAGAATATGATTCGCTTTTTTCTCCCCCTATATATATATATATTCTTATCAATCTTTACTACATTTATTTATTTATTGCTGCACGTGTGCGTGCGACGGGACAGCAGGTCTTTTCTGTTGTTCCAAACAGATTGTCCTCTTTTATGTTTTATATTTTTTATTATTATTTATATTTATGTATTTATTTATTTATTGTGTGTGCCTGTAGTGATTTGAATTTATTGTCTCAAGGAATAAAACACCACCAACAACAGCAAAAGGGGAACTATGTCAGGAAAGCTCCGTCTGTACAAGGAAAAACTTGAGGGATATAATCGTTTTTATTCGATTGTTAAAACGATAAAAATGGTGACCCTTGCCAAATATCGAACTGCTCAAGGCCGAGTCAAAACACGTGACTTTACACTTCGTTATACTGAAAAGGCTTTCAGCAAGCCTCATGCCTCCGAGAAAGAAGCTGTAGCTTCCGCGAAAAACGCTCTTGTTTACATTCCGATTACTACGAATCGAGGCTCTTGTGGAGCTTTGAACAGCAATACGGTTCGCTGCATTGATCTTGTTGCGTCAAATAAGATGGTGCTAATGCCTATTGGTAAAAGGGGAATTGATTCCCTGTCAAAACTTTATCCTAATGAGTTTAAATATGGCATTATAAATGATATGAGGGAACCAATGCATTTTGCATACGCGACATACATTTTGGAAAACGCTTTCAACGTTTCTGAGGAAGCGGACCGTTATCAAGTCATTTTTCATCGCTTTGTCTCTGCAGGTGTTCAGAAACATGCTGTGTATAATATTCCTTCTTTTGAGAAGTGGAAGGAAGACCTTGCCGACGCCGCTAGTACTGAGAATCAGAAGAGTCGTTACCTTTTTGCCAATGCTCTGCAGAACGAGGAGGAGCAATTTATCCGGGATTTTTACGATTTTCATGCCTCTCTTGCGATACTTAACGCAGTTGGGGAAAATGAGCTTTCCGAGCAGGCTGCACGATTGGTGGCAGTTGAGGGTCAGTTGACAAACATCAGCACCTTGAAGCAACGAACAAGTTCATTGTACAACAAGACTCGTCAGTCCGGTATCACTGCGGCTCTTATTGAAATCCTTTCAGCCATGAGCTCGCTGGAGGGAAGCACCACCAAGGGCGTTCAGCGCAACAAATTCTGGGAAGGGTCGAAAATTAATTAGTATTGTAGTGAATGGATATATATATATCAGGTGTAAATGAAATTAGTGGAAGAGGGACTTAGATAGGTAGCGCGTTGCGTGGCGCTGGGGAGTCTCTCGTTTTATGACTTTTGTATCTGTCTGTTTGAGTGTGTGTTGTTTTTTTTTTTTTGTTGTTGTTCTTGTTCTTGTTCTTGTTAAATATTTATTGATGATTTGCTTTTCCTTCTTGTGTGACTTGAAATTATTTCCTCTACTGTTTTTCTCCACGTCAATTTTGCCCATAACTCATCTTGACTTTCAATCCTTAGCGAGTGTTTTGTTGTTCTTGGGATAGTCGTTTTTTGTTGTTGTTGTTGTTTTTGTGTGTGTGTTGTTTTCTTTTTTCTTCTTCTTCTTGGAGGGGCTCCTACACGTTTATGGGTATAATGAAGCCACAGAACGCTGCGGTCTTGGCCGGGGCAGCTGCTATTGTTGCCACTGGATCTGCTGCCGCCGGGACGATATCGTGTGCTGATGTGTATCCCCAATCAGCCGCGTTTTTTGGTTCGATGGGATGTGCCTCTGCGCTGATTTTTGCGAACCTGGGGTCGGCTTATGGCACGGCAAAGTCTGGTGTTGGCGTGGCCCATCTTGGTATCCTTCATTCTGAGCGGATCATGCGCGGTATTGTGCCTGTTGTTATGGCAGGTATTCTTGGCATATATGGTCTTATTGTTTCTGTGATAATTAACAACAATATCAAGACGGAGACACAGTCATACTCTGCGTTCTCTGGTTATCTTCACTTTGGTGCTGGGCTGGCTGCGGGTTTGTCTTCACTAGCTGCGGGCCTATCCATTGGGATCGCTGGTGATGCGGCAGTTCGTGCGTACGGCAAACAGGAAAAGATATTTGTGGCCATGATTCTCATGCTGATTTTTGCCGAGGCGTTGGGTTTGTACGGACTCATTATTGCGCTTCTCATGAACAATACGGCCAACAAGGTGAATTACGGCCAATGCCAATAGGGCTTGAAAAAGTGCCAATAATTGTAGGAATTTTTAGAGGAACAACAATAATTAAAAAAAAAAATTGATGAATACCGATGGTGCTATTTTTCTGTTTTTTAGTATCATTTTGATGTTAATTATAATTGTTATTATTATTATTGTTGCTTTTTTAGCCATTGTGATTAATTTATGGAATTGTTCCTTTTATTTTTTCAATGTCGATTGCCTTTTGCTTTTTATTTTTCGTTGTTCTTGACCTCCTTTTTTACCTTTCCAAGCTCTTTTTTTGGATGTTTCGGGAGCGTGTTGCGTCTGTGGTGAAGAAGCACGCTTCCAATATTGCTCCTTTTCTGCTTCTGGCAGGGGTACTTCTGATTGTTGCAATTCCAGCTGTAAAGCCGAGAAAGAACTTTATTGATGAAAGTGCTGTCAATGTTGATGGAATTCCTGTGTTGATTACGAGCTCGGACGCATCTCATCACGATGCCACAATACACCAGTACCATCGCATTGTCCACGGCCATCGTTCTGTGGGCTCGGAAAGTATTGCTGTTTACGTCAACACTGTGGAGAACTCATCGATTATACTGGCAAACTTTCTAATTCGATCTCTTCAAAAGAAAAATAATATGGCGTGTGAGACACACTTTTACTTTGTCAATGGGAGTACATTGCATTGGCCCATCCCTAACTCCTTTGTCCGTGCAGCGCTGTTTATCAATGTCTCTTCTTTAAAGACACGCAATTTGTGTTTCAGTGTGTATGGTAAGAATGGAATGCAACCCAATCAGGATCTCTTTAATGTAGCAGTCGCAATGGCCCGCGAATGGAACTTGAATGTGGATATTCTTTGCCAAAATCCGCACATTCCATATTCGGTGACACGCTCAAAGTATGAACATTATTTGGCTGCGCTACAAACAGCTGTAATTGCTCCTCAAAACCCTCAACCATGGTATTTTTTCAGGTCAAATGGTATCAGTATGTTGGCCATTGGAACGGAGAAATCGGATGGTTTATATGAAGTCTCAGTTGCACATCATATTGCCGCGATGCATGAACAACTTATTGGAACCTTGAGTTATCTGGATGAAAGATTTCATCACTCTACCTCCGTATGGGTGCCTCTAAGCGTTACCGAGTACGTAGAGTATGACATTGCACAATTTGGAATTATTTTACTTGTGGCATCACTGCTTTCGGTGGGATATTCCATTTATGAGTTAGAGGGGCTTTCTCTCTCTCCGCGTGTTGTGTTGATTTTTTTGGCGCCTGTTCTTGCTTCAGGTGCAAACAAGTTTTTTGGCGTTTGGGGATCTTTTGTGTGTAGCATTTTTTTGACGATTGCATGGAGTGTGTGTGCGTGGGAATTGTCGTGGTTGACGATAAACGCAGTCATGTTGTGTCTTCTTATAATTCTCCAGCCCGCAACGGGTCTTCTTGTTGGTTCCGGAGTCGCCGTGCAACTTTTTTTTCTTCATGTAAAGTGTCAGAAGCCCCCTTTTTTATTTTTGGGCACTTTTTTTGCATGGGCTGTTTTATACTACTTTATTGTGATGCTCAAAATCCGTCATGACGACATGAATACGATAGGGGGCATTTATCTCTCTTTTTTTGTTTACCCGAACGCCCTATGGGTGACTAGTAGACTGATTAGATCAGTTTTACCAACAATGTAGCTTGAATAGTTGTTGTTATAAAGCGTAGGACTTTTTTTCTCTTTATGGTTTTTATTTGTAGATAAACGAATATAAATGGTTACGTCACCTGCTTGTTACTTTATCTGTTCAATGAATATCCCTTTTTTTTTTTTTTTTTTTTTTTTTTTCTTTCATTGTCACTTCGATATATATATATATATATATATTTTGTTCTCCATCTTCACGTGTGATTTTTGCTCTTTAGCCCTTTTGAAGCCATCATGGCAAAGCGTACCGTTAAGATGGGTGTCATGGGACGCTATGGCGCCCGCTATGGTGCCAACCCCCGTAAGCGTGCCAAGAAGCTCGAGGTGTCGCAGCACGCGAGGCACTTTTGTTCTTTCTGCGGTAAATTTGCCTTCCGCCGTAAGGCTGTAGGCATTTGGCGCTGCGACGGCTGCAGCAAGACGATGGCGGGTGGTGCATACACGTTGAGCACACCGAACAACAGCACTGTCCGCTCGACGGTTCGTCGTCTTCGTGAACTCAAGTAGGTGGGTGGGGGGCAAATAAATTTATTTACTTTTTCCTGATTTTTGTTCTTGTCTCATCTGTTGTTTGTTTCACGGAAAAAGGCAAACACAAGGGCCAGAGGGGAAGATGGGAACGTGTTGGAGTTTTACACAAGGGGATAGAATTTTGCAGCACTTCTTGGGTTCATCTTTTTACGCTTCCGCACTCTTTTCTCCTGTTATTTATTTATTTTTTTTCTTTTCTTTACTTATTATTTTCAGCAAGATCGCCAATGTTTTCTTCCAAAACTGAGTATGACAGAGGTGTAAACACCTTCAGCCCCGAGGGACGAATTTTCCAGATTGAGTACGCGATTGAGGCGATTAAGCTGGGAAGCACAAGTCTTGGAATCCAAACCCCCGATGCGGTTGTAATTGCCGCTGAAAAGCGGGTTCCTTCCGTGCTGGTGGACCCTTCCAGCATGAATAAGATTTTAGAGATCGATTATCACATGGGAACCGTATTGAGTGGCATGGTGGCGGATGCACGGATTCTCGTCGAGCATGCTCGTGTGGAGGCGCAGAATCACCGTTTCACCTATGATGAGCCAATGCGCGTTGAGTCGTGTGCATTGGCCACCTGCGATTTATCTGTTCGATTCGGTGAAAGTGGGGGACGCAAGAAGCTGATGTCCAGACCATTTGGCGTTTCTCTTCTTATTGCCGGTGTCGATGAAAACGGTCCACAGCTCTGGCAAACAGACCCTAGCGGCACCTACACACGTTACGACGCTCAAGCGATTGGTGCTGGTGCCGAAGCTGCTCAGACCGTGTTTAATGAAAGTTATCACCGCAACATGACTGTTGAGGAGGCAGAAACGCTTGCAGTGCGAATCCTGAAGCAGGTGATGGAAGAAGAACTGACCAAAAGCAACATTGAGATTGCCATTGTTCCTGCCTCTACAGGCAAGCTGGAAGTATATGATCAGACAAAAATACAAAGAATAATTGATCGACTGACGGAAGAGTAACGGCATCGGATGCGTTTTATGGTTCTGTCTTTTTTTTCCCCTCCTTTTTTTTTTTCTTTTAATTTATTTTACTTTACTGCACGGTACCTTGTAGGAAATGAGATGTGTTTTTTTTTTTGTTTTTTTTGTTGTTGTTGTTGTTGTTGAGATTTTTTTTTTTTTTTTTTTTTTTGATCTTACGTGTGTCCTGTGTTACTGAGAATATTTATGCTGCGCATTTGGAGATATTCATAGTTGTTTAAATGGACTTTTTCTGCTGCTCAAACTTTTGTTTTCTGCGTAATTAACAGGGAAGGAAACTTTCTAAGTCGTTCATCATGAACACAGCCACAACAGTAGGTGTCACAGGTGATGGCGATGCTCGCCAGCGCAACAGTCCCGAGGAATCAGAGAAGCGCAAACGCGTTTCAAGCGCCGTGCAGTTTCTTCACGACTCGCGTGTGAAAATCACACCGGCAGCAAATAAAATACAATTTTTAAAGTCGAAGGGCCTTACAACGGAGGAGGTTTGCGAGGCATTTGAGAAGGCAGGACAAACAATCCCACTGGATGAGATTAAAAAAATAATGAATAAACCGTCTTTTGGGCAGCTTGGGTCGGGGGTTGTCAACAACAATTTGGCGCCAGGACACGTGGGGAGTGATGCAACTTATGTTTTGCGACAGCACCCCTTTATGCCTCACGCTGGGCCGCTTTACACGCAGCAACCACCGCCGTTTCCACAGACGCCTCAAGGGGCCAAGGAAACCGACTGGAGGGATGTTATTATTGGCGTGGGCGCTGCGTTGATCAGTGGCTTTGCTGCCTTCAAGGCGTTTCAAATATACTCACCGTATGAAATTCGGCGCAAGGATGAGAGGACCAAAAAGGGATCGCGAATGGAATCCCAGCGGCGAGGCAAGAGGCACGAAGGAAGTGTCTCTCCTGATAGGGGAGCAGAGCGCCCGGTAACGTCTTTGCACACCATGGCACCCCCAATGCCTGCAACGCCCACACCGCTGCCCACCGCCACGGCAGCAAACGCTGCTGAGAGCACTGAACGGGAAATTCAAAAGTTGCAGTCGGAATTGAAGGAAACCCAAGAAGCGCTGGAGAAGGAAAAGAGGAGCAAAGCAGAGATTTCAGTTTCTCTCGGTAAATTGCGGGGGCAAATTAACGCCTTATCCAGAACGAATGATAATTTGGAATCAAGAATCAAACTTCTTCAGGAAGAAGTTGACAAGGCAAATTCCGAGGCAAACAAACGAAAAGAATTGGATGCGAGTTTCACCGGGGCCGCGGACGGCGTGCCGAAGTCACAGTCGGAGGATGCCATTCAGCCCAATGGCCCACCTCTTTTGACACCCAAAATCCTAGCGGATACGGTAGGCTGCAATTCAGCAGCTTTGAATGAGTTGCCTGTGCTAACAGCAGTGGAATTTGTTCCAGAGGAGTGACTGTGTAACGGAGAAACCTAAAAAAAATAACAATAGGGGTGGTGGTGGTGGTGGGGAGAAAGCATCAAAGATGGTTATTAATGTGTAGTGCCTCACAGTTTGTGTAGGTGTGAAGAAGAAGAGAATGGGGAAGCCAAAAATGCGGAATTTTATGCCTTCAAAAAAAATTTTTTTTTTGTAATTTGTGCAGCTCTTCTTTAGAAAAGGTTTTGTTGCCTGTGGGTGCGCAAGGAATAGTGCTTTAGATAATGCATCAAGAGATTGAGTCCTTGAAGTCCAATTTATTGTCATTATCCAACGCTAGAAACAACCATAACATTGGGTCGAGTGATGCGGTGGGTAGAATGCCAACGAGGGAAATAAAAAATTTTTTTGCCGTCGAGACAGACTCAGAAGGAAGTGGTTCCCGCCGTGTGGATATTGAAGGAAGCAGTGAACCTTGTCTGAAGAGGCTGGGAATTTCCCTCAGTCATGGATTGCTGCATGCTTCCGTGAAGGACTTTGTCATTCCGTCCTCATCAGATTCATTTACGAGTCTTCGGGTTTCTCCTAAACGAGCAGACGATGTGCATTTGGATGACACGGAGAACACGGAAGGGGAAAAGCGAAGACTTCCAGTTGGCGATCAAAGCAACACCTCTTGTTTAGGTTCTGGTGATGACGCAGAGAAAACACCTTCTAGGCATGAGTTGCAGACTTCTCTTGTTATTCCACCGGAGAGCACATTTATTAATCATGATGGAAGGCAACAGGCATTAGAAAGCAGAAAATCCCTACTGATGGCGGAAGGCATTCCTGTTGGGAACTTTTCGCATCGTTCTCAGCCTTCTCACCAGCGGCGCAAAGATTGCCTGGTAGAACTGTATTATAGAGGGGTTAAAACAAGAAAGCAATTAGAAGAAAAGTTGGAGAGTATTCGTGCGGCACGGGAAAATGAGTTTAAAGCGTATTCCTTTCAACCAAAAATCACGAACCGTGCCAAGGCAATACCCCGCTCTGGGAGTGTTCCTGGGTGTTACGAGCGTGACACTCGACTTCGTCAACGTCTTCTTCTTGAAGCATGGAGGTCTGAGTCTGAGGGGCAGTGTCAGTCTGCTCCCAAAATTTCCAAGGGCTCTGAACGTATAGTCCGTCGGGTTAGAGGCAACAGCGCACCCGTGATTCCTGTGGAAGAAAGATTACATCTGGATGCGGCTCGACGTCGGTGTCGAATGGCAGAGGACGAAGAGGGTGTGAAGCAGCAGATTTCTTCAGTTAAACGAACCGCTGGTGATATTAAGATCCATATTGATCGTCTGTACATGTATGAGGAAAAACGTCAGTTGGCGCTGCGGAAGCTGCGGGAGGAGACGGGTGTGGGTCACTCCCAAATGCCCCTTTATGTGAGCAGTGAAGATGTCGTGAGGCGTCTTTCCAAACCCTTGAAGAAGAGCAGACGTGATCATTCCGTGGAGGAAAATTTGCTTTTTGCACCTCAACTTTCCCCTGTGACGGAGGAACTGAGCCTCCGCGCCAGACGGCGGAGGATGGATGACTGGTACCTTTTTTTTACTCATCGACATGGAGAGGGCGTCTTCCCACCGAATGCGGTTGCTGAAAAAATACGTGAGGCACTGCAGCAGGCGGGTTTATTGGGGGCCTTTTCTCGGAGAGCCTTTGGCATGGCTCTTGATGAGTATGAGAAACGGAATGGGTTGCAGTTGTGGCACTCGACCCCGCCGCCTTCTACACCGCCGTTGAACGAAGAATTAACATTTGTACCGAGGATAAACTCTCAGAGAAATTTGCAGGCGCATGCGCAGATGGCACACGAGCGATTATTTTCTGCGGCAAAGCAACTGCAATTGGCCGTAAAAGAGGAGGAGCGAATGCGGCAAAAGGAACTTTTGGAGGAAGAGAAAAAGCGAAGGAAAAGGCAGCAGCGGCAGCAGCAACAATTTCGGGCATTGTCTAGAGAAAAAATGAAATCATTGGAAATAATTAGCAGTGCTGGGGATGAAAGAAGAAGTCCGCCATCCTCTTTAGTTCGGAGTAAAAGTTTACAGGGTATTGCAGACCTCTCATGCGATTCCGAGACTTCTGTGGTGTCGCCAGAATCTGTTAGTTCCAGTCCATCCGATCCGAGTTTCATGTCAGTTGCGGTAAAATCAGTGTCCTCATGTTCAAACTTGCTGGCCGCTGCAGAGCAGTTGCGCCAGTTAATAGATTCACCAGCGGATACAGAACGCAACAACATAAAACCAGGTTTTTTTCAAGAGGATGAGGTTCCCTGTGCGGACAATAATAATAAACCGGCTTGTGTTCCTGCGGACACATCTGAATTGGTATTCGCCTCTCCTGAGCCACCAGTTTTGAGAGTACACAAAAAGAAAAGTGATACCTTTGCAAATACGCGTGTGTCCACTGACTTATTGTTGGAATGCGCGTTAAGCCGTCTCGTCTGGCCTGCAGACGTTGCCACACGGCGGCGAGAGTGGTGTAAATGTCGTCGTCGCCTTCAGAGAGTGGGAAAGATGCTTTACCAAAATATGTAGTTTCTGCCTCTTTTCCTTTTTTTTTTTTTTTGTTGCTTTTTAACGACAGGGGTTTCTTTAGATTTGACGGCGTGGATTGGCGTTGATCATTTTAATGCGCTGATTTTGGCGGCAGCTCCCATTTAAAGAGTGGAGAGGTGGAGTTGCGTACTTGCAATGCAATCGTTGTTTTGATATTATTTATTTGTTTGTTTTATTTTTTGATTGCGTGGGTAAAAATGCGGGTTGATTAAGGGAAAAAGAAAAAAGGAGCGAGAGAACGAAGTAAGAAGAAAAAAAAAAAAAGAAAAAAAGATGGTTGTTGTAGCTGAAATTGAGGCGCGGATTCGCTCGAATTTGGAGCCCACTTCGTGTGAAGTGACGGCGATAAGTGAAGAAGACCGCAAGTACAGTGTGGCCATCGTGTCTCACATTTTTGAGGGCATGCCGCTTCTCAAGCGACATAGAATGGTCAATGATCTTTTCAAGGAGGAGCTTTTGTCAGGTGATATTCACGCGCTAACAATCGTTGCGAACCCCCCTTAATGATGATTGCGCTATCATCCACTTACATCACTTGTGGGGTTTGAGGCTTTGGCTTCTTTCCTTGTTTCCTTCGCACCCAACTCCCTGAGTTCTCCACGCATGGAATGTCGTTTTTGCTGTTTTGAGGCTGCTGTTGAGGAAGTGGGCCAGCGTAAGGCCTGCAGCTGCTGTGTTGGGATAGTCGTTTCCTTTTTTGAATAGGTGCCGCGTCGTGTTGTTGATGTCTTGGCGAGAAAAAGATTGGAGTGTAGAAGATATTCTGAACGAAAGAGGTGTTTGCCTGCTGTTTTGGGTTTAACCGTGAAAAAAGGCGAGTTTTCTGACGATGACAGACGTGCAGCCACTTTCACCCATTGCTGTCGAAAAGGAGATATTGCCACCTTTAAATTCATTGACCAAATGTTTCTGCTTGCTGCTGCCGCTGCCGCCGGTTTTTTTTTTTTTTTTTTTTCTGTGTATGGGACTTTACCTAAAATATTTAAAAATGCCCCGCAAAAAAAAAAAAAAAAAGGATTTATGGACAGTATGTCTTTATGTCAGCACGCATTTATTTTTTTATTTGTAGTGTAGCGCTGTTTCTTGTCTTGTGTGTACGAGTGCCCTGCAATTCTTTTTTTTTTTTTTTTTGCTCTCTTACGCTGCTGTTTTATTTCTTGTTGAACGGACGTGGCAACTCGGTCCAGCAGAGGGACTCAGGATGGTGAAGCCGTTCGTTCAGAAGAGGATCGTGAAGAAGCGCACGAAGAGGTTCACGCGCCACAAGTGCGAGCTCTTCCCGCAGCTCAGCAGCAGCTGGCGCAAGCCCCGGGGTGAGGATTCACCGGTCCGCCGCCGCTACAAGGGACAGAAGGCGATGCCTAACAAGGGTTACGGTAGCGACCGCAAGACGAAGTACATCACCCCGTCGGGATTCAAGAACTTCCCCATTCACAACGTGCAGGATCTCTACATGCTACTCATGCAGAACCGCAAATACGCTGGCGTCATCTCCCACACTGTGGGGGCCAAGTCGCGCAAGGCTATAGTACGCAAGGCGCACGAACTGGACGTGCGCCTTATCAATGGAAACGCCAAGCTTCGTCGTTGTGAGAGCCACTGATTTTTGTTTTCCTCTGGTTTATTTATTCATTTTTACGTGTATATCCTTTACGCATAAAATGCACCTGGAAAAAAACCATTTATCCAAATGGAGCATTTCATTTTTAAATTTTTTTTTTTTTTTTTGATTTGTCCTTTTCGATTGAATTATCTCTTCTTGTTTCTTCCATTTTTTGTTTGTTTGTTTGTTTACATGTCTGTGCAAGTGCTTGTGTGCATTGGAAAGAATTGCAGCAGTCAAAAATGCCCTTCGCTGATCATAAAAAGTACAAGATTCAACGGGAGGAAATGCCCGCCGTTCCTCACTTTTCCGACTTCAGTGACCCACGGTTCAGCTATACAGCCAACAAGCAGAAAAATGGAATTCTTGCCTACTACCAATGGCTTCACTGCATCGGCAACTGGGGCGAGGAACACTCTATGTGCAAGAAAATGCGCTGGTACCTAGAGCGAATGATGCAGGAGTCGTGGCTGGAGAAGTGGGAAGAGAAGCGTGCCTTAGGACACTTTGATCACGTTATTCTCTATGGTGTGAAGCCATGGAAGGAGTTTGAGCCGTTGTACCAGCCCGTGAAGAAGAATCGTAAAGGCGCCTATGAGTTTTGGTTGGATCGCGACTTTGAGCCCCTTTACGATGCGGATGCCGCGGACTTTCGTGAGAAGGCGCCAATCCTTCATGATGTCTTTGTGAATGGGCAGAAGCCCGTGTATGATTGAGT